GTACCCGATTGGGAAAGAAACTTCAGAGCATTGAAAGCTAGAGGAAGAGAGGCTGAGAAATTACCCTCGTAAGGGCATTCTATTGTTTAAAACTTAATATATATTAAATAATTAATAACTATTGATATTTAATCTATGGTTTGAATAATAGCAAAGCATCAGGAAGAACGAACAGAAATAATCAAACACTTAAAACATCTTTTTTTTTTCAAATAATACTAACAGAAGTGAGAAGATTAGAAAGTTCATTCACAAGTTAATTTTTCTATTCAACATTTAAAAAATTTACAAATATTCTATTCTTTCAGGGAAGTTAAAGTCGATTGTATCACTGTCTCTACTTCMCCAGTCAAATCAACAATTGATGATCATATTCAACGGTTGTTTGATGCTCTTCTTAACTCATTGCGCCGATCCATCGTAAATGACACCCAGACCATTGATAGCTTCCTTACTTCWGGAATGGATGCWCTWTCCACCAGACCACAGAGTGTTGAAGAGATTGGGGAGGCTAATGCAAAGCACACAGAATTAGCAGCACAAAAACCCTTGGTATTTACATTATATAAGACAAAAAGACTTTTACTTCCAGGAGTATAATCATGAGTGTCCTCTAATTTAAACATGGTCACAAAATATGGTTGGTGTTGCAATTCCTTACAGGACTAGCAATCACTTACAGTAGTTRACTCAGATTACATTTTTCATGCATTATTTCATTACAATTCTATTTAACTTTATGTTATGAGAGCATCAACTGTAGCTGGTTTTATTCTTTTTGATTGATCTAATCTTCTTACTGTCAATTTTTTTCTTTTTGTTGCAGATCTTCCCCTTGTTCGAGAAAGCTGAGTCTAAAAACAAGCTACTACGATCAACAGCAGGGGGAGGGGTGGATCAGATTGGTACRCTCCAAGCAAGATGGGATAAGTTTGAATTAATGATGGAAAGCCATGAGCTCATGGTTAAAGAACAGGTTTGTTGATGAGGAATGACGACCTTTAATAGTAAATCATCACCCTTACTAGCTGCAGTAGTAGGTTCAAGATAAATGAAAACTTGTTTGATTATTTTATTAATTGGGAAGGAAGACTCTAATAAAAAGCCATTGAATCAAGTGAGAGGAACAAAACCGCATAAGGTGCCCTGGCATAAAATTGAATTAAGACCACAGCAGTGACAGAYTGTTGCTCTCTCCCTCAGACATCCTTTAAATTCTCTAAGTAGGACAAGTTTGATGAATAATGATACGTTGTTACTTGAAGGTTGAAGTCATGAAGAGCAATGTTGAATCACGAGTGCAGGCTTTCCAACAAGAGCTTGAAAAGTTTAGTGCACGCTGGCACCAACTCAAACCAAAGGATCTGGACATCGACAGCGATAAAGAGTCTTGTAAACAAGCTGTAACGTCAGTAAAAGAAAGAAAAGCTGAGTTTGTGGAGCTGGAAGAAACTATGAACAAACTTGTGTAAGTGTCTTTTACTGAAGGCCTCTAAACCTTTGAACTTAATTCACAAAAGGCTTTCTTTTTTGCAGATTTGAGTGTAGTCACTTTGGTGTTGCTGAGCCATCTTTCCCTGTAGCTGAAGAGCTGAAGCAGGATATTGCTGTCAATGAGGCCATGTGGCAGATCTATGAAGATTTTAGTAATGGCTTAGAGGAGCTGACCAAGGAAGACTGGATATCCTTCAGGTTAGTTAAATACATAAAACAATCAGAAAATACACCCAGGCAAACATCTCATTCATTCCTTAAAATGAAWAAACAGGTTCACAAACTTTTTTACCATTTATTTGTTTATTATTATTTTTTAACTTACCATAAACATTTTGTTTGGATTAAGGTCACGTGCCTTCCAGTTTGACGAGTTTCTCACTSTTTGGTCTGAGAACCTAAGAACCAAGGAGCCAACRGTCATGACTGTCCGCCTTCAGAAAGATGTTGAGAAATATAAGGTACATAATGGAAATAAAAGACAACATTATTGATTTGATTCTGCTAACTTAATTTATAATAATTTCACATTTTTATTGTCCGTTCCTAGAATGTTGTTCCTCTTCTG